CTCCGTACCGGAACATGTCATATGCTGTTAGTGTTAGAGGGCCACCGACTCTTTAACAGTGTTACCACTTGTGACACTTTAACGTATTAATCTTTTGTAACTTTTGCCACGTGGAGGGCTGATAGTGGCAAATGTCTAGCTAGCTGCTTAATTGCCCGAGCAATTATTAGTCCATCGATCTAAGTATGCCACCTGGCAAACCACGCTCGTTTCCAGCCAACTCAGAAGCTGAAGCAATTGGGTTTGCAAAATGCATGTAATTAATATTGTGAGAACTAGAACCAACTGGTCTCGTAACTTGAATAAAATATTATGTTAATACATTTTTCTAAGCATCTCATAAGTCATAATATAATGTTTAATACATTCCCAAAGAATTCCGTGATTGTTTTTATTTTTAATATATACAAGACTACGAGAGCTGATTTATATATATATGATATATGATACGGCCGCTGTTTTAGAGGCGGCTTTTCACGGTTGGACCGTTGGACACGTAGAATGGTTTAATGTGCGCCTGCGTGAGATAGTCACGACTCACATGTCGCTTTGGCCGGGTTGCTCGTTTCTGTAATCACATTGTTGTCCTCGAGATGCGTAACCCTCGATTTTGTATGTGTCATGTGAACTGTGAAGTTCTTCCTTCATTCCCCACTCTATGGATCTACGCTCCTGCCTCTCAGCTTGATAATAATCATCACTTTACGTTAGTGATGAAGAGTCAAGTCTCAAGACTCTAACATTGGGGGTGCTCTTCCTTCTTTCCTTTTTTTTTCCATCCATCGTTGAAAAGGAATATCCAACCTACTCCAACTTTTATGTTGAGAATAGTCGAATTGAGCTGCTACAGTCTGCCGACGACATCTTGAAGATACGTGGGAGTCTGGAGTATACAGTACTGTAGGTTTAGGGCTTTTTACTGCCACATACATATATACAAAGGATGACAATATGACATATGATGGATTCAGCTCATGTGTGCATCATCTTACAGTGCATATATACTCTACTGGAAGATGATGACATTTTAGACTCAGATCATTTCGTGTATATTATCAGCTAGCTTTCAAAAAAAAAAAAAAATAGCAGCTGGACAGTAGAGACTGGTGAGAGAGATAGAGAGAGATGTGTTCTGTTGATATCATCTCCATATATACTCTTTGTCTCTGCCGACTGCCCAAGTGATATTCTTCCTTGGGGGAGGAAGAAGTGCTAAACAAACAACTGTGGAGAATGTAACTGACTCTTGTATTATGTGGCAGAAGAAGGGCTGACACTTGCCAATTGGACTGTTGGAGTTAGTATGGCATATTGAAGGAGTACACAGAACTGTCAAATCAGTTTGCCAGGTGTCAAGATCAATAGATCATCTTCTACCTACAGTGTCCGTGTTCTTTTACACCCGAGAGAGAGCCTAATGTTACTCATAAATTGAGTCGCACTCGGATCCTCTTCATTGAATGAGAAGGTGGGCCATTGGGCCCACTCATCAGTCTCCATCCCATCTATATACATACACTATTCCCATGATATTGCAGCGCAGCAGGTCGGGAGGACGGAGAAGCACGTCTACCCAGAATACAACTGCAAAAAACATACTCTGTTTTAGCGAGAATTGTTAAAATTCGGGCCCACCCAACTTCGGTGTGAAGAATCTATACCGGAATATTTATCTCTCTTCATTCCTATTATTTTCCCTTCTGGATAAAATTGCTTACAGCTACCAGCCTATCCTATCAACCTACTCGTATGCTTTTCAGGCGTAAGCCCACGTGTTTTGTGATTTTTCTTTTGGATAAATTACAGAGACCCTCCTTTTATTATGGGATCACTGGTCAGTGACAAACACCCTATACTTTGATTTGCAATAAAAGATTTCCTAAATTTTAGCCGTTAGACAAAAAGCCCTTCCGTTAAAGTGCCGTCAGCTAACCTCGAAAAAGATTCTCAGCTAGATGTTTACATTTTTTTTAAATGCTCAAATTACGTCTGTTTAACTAATTTGGTTTTCTTTTATTTCCACCCATTGATCTCACTGACGTCATCAGGTCCCATGAGGAAAAATGCCCGACAACAATGTCTTGCGCACATTCACCCAACCTCTGTAAATTTTGGATTCATCACAAAACAATTTTATCAACGGAATTATAGTGGGCTCAAGTTGCAGCACTGTTACGTTTCGTGGAAGTACAAAATGAGATAAAGAATTTGTAGAATTCATGCCTGAAGAAGAAAAAGGAAATAGAGAAAATTCAAAAGGGCATTTTAATAATTTGACACTTTCCATGATCTGATTTAACGGCCAACGGAATATTTGTTACAACATAAAAGTCGTCGTAGGAGGTTCTTTGTTGCAAATTAAAGTAGAGGGGTCTTTATCACTGACTCCATAGTATGGGGGGACTTTATGTTTTTAAAAAATTTATTAAATTCTTAGCTCATTCATCAATTCCCTAGTAGCATGTGGCTCGGACCATCTTGGTTGGGTTCAATCAAATTGCCTCTTATTAATAGCATCGAGAAAACCATGTTTTCAAGAGATGGTGGGTTTATAACTTATATGATTTCTTCTTAGGAATTCTGAGTGAGAATAAAAAAAAAAAAAAGAAAAAGACTGTTTTGGCCTTTAATGGGTGCAACAAACATGAGGAGCAGATGGCACTGTTGAGATGCTGCTGTACTGGTTTGTTCTCGTATTTCCCTTAATTTTTTAAACACAAATTGCCTCTAATAATTGAGTATCCAATAAGATTTAATTTTGAATTTTCATTTCTAGACGACACAACTGTATTTCAGTTTCTTTGTTTATTTGGTAATAAGAATGAGGAAGCAGAAAGCAGTACTTCATTAGAAAATAAACAACAATAAAATTCTTCCGCTATTAGCTAGTCTATTTATTTCTGTAGTCTCTACTCCTCGACTCCCTCGAGCTACCAATTAATGTACTAATAGATCGATCGGCTCTATATACATATAATCTAGGGTATGCACCAGCAGGCCCTGATGGCAACAGACCATAAATGTGCTGGCCTGAGCTGGGTTGATGTAATTAATGTACTAATAGACTAGACTAGACTTGGTTCAACCCATACCATCTGTATGTAGTTGGGAGTCTAGCCAACTAGGCTTTCTCGAGCAAGCATGGACGGGTTCGCATCAACAGTGTGCATGGTTATGTCTGTGTGAAAGTGGTGGGGGAAGCAGGTAGCGCTGGGGGATTAAGAATTTAAGATGATAATGACACCAAAAGTGTATCAAACAGGAGGAACAAGTGCAAAAGGGTGGATGAGTTGGCAATTGGTACTAGTACAAAGATGAAAAGATCAAACCTGTGCAAATACAAATTACAAATTTGTGTTGTATCATTATCTCTGTCAAAGACAAAATTTGTGGCATGTCATCTTGTTTGTATTAGTGATTGAGGTTGGATCATCTAGGCCCACGTTGTTACCATCTTATTCCACAACCAAGCCCCCCCCCCATCAACCATCATCGTAATAATTATGGGCCTGATCTCCCCTGTTGGTAGATCGGATGTACGTGCATCAAAGGCCCCATCCCTCCAAATTGTCCATTCTCATCACAGACCTAAATTGGTGATTACCAATTAATGCTGCTGATTAATGACTATTAATATACATTAATAATCAAATGTGATAGAAGAAATGACAAGAATGAGGAGAATAAAGACAACAAACAGTACCTAGTGTACTGGCAGTGTGAGCATTAGCAGTGTTTACTGGTACAATTATCATGAATATTCCCACGATAATCATTTCGTGTCCTCAATACAACAAAATATACCACTCATACATATTAACAAAAACATCCGGGTCGACCCTGTAGCTCGATAGGACAGTACTCACCCAATATCTCAACCTCCTCAATCCCAGCTTACATGCAAAAAGTAAGTTGGTGGGCCTAAATATCGCAAACAGTGAACCCGAACCCGATGGATTCTTTCTTTTTTCGAACAGACGACTTTCAGGAAAATGTCATACTGGGTCTGCTTGGGACAACTTATTCATGCTTTTTCTTTCTTTACTTTTTCACAGTCAGATGATTAGATTTATGAGATACCTTGTCAAAAAAAGATCCGGACGGGTTGGCGGGTCGACTGGAGAATTGCCACCATTACAGTAAAAGAAGCGACAATTAATGTATCTGAGTAAAAACAAGTAAGTCCCAGACAAAATTGTTGACAGTGCCCTTTATCAATACGGTCAAAATGCCAAAATTGCCCGTTAAATTAATAGTATTTTAATGTATACGAGCGTAAAGAGTATTCGTTAACTTGCTAAGAATTAAGATGGAGAGATGCCATCAACTACTAATCTGAGAATTATAAGAAAAAAATACAGGAAACAGAAAAGAAAAGTAAAAAAGCATTGAGAATGGACGCAGTTAGAAACAAACTACACAAATTATTGTTTCCTAATCAAATAGAAAATGTACAGGAAACAACAATTGCGACCCACCTACCCGCTACCCATTTGAAATTGTGAGCTCAGCTAAAGTTTGAGAGGCATTGAGAATGGGACCCAACTCAGCACTTCAGCATGGCTCATGCCTGAGAGAGAGATGCGCGTTGGTTTCTGTAGTTTTCTGTTCATCACCAATTAATATATTTCAGAGATTGTATTATACAAAGAACCTGACAGGGTCTATGATGCTAAGTCCATCCTTTTCGGTTCAGACAGATATGTGGGTCAAAGTTTTCAGAAGATGGGAATTAAATATTAAGTCTGTTGGATTGCAGATTTCGGTGAAAAAGACACGAAATCACCTTAGAGAGAGACTGAGGGTAAGGAAGAGAGAGACAAGAAAACAATAGAGAGAGAGAAGAGAGTAGAAGAAAAAGTAGATTCCATTTCAATCTTAGGCTCTAGGTGCAAATGCACATCACATACCATATTACATATTACATACCATAATGCATTTGTTTATTAGCAAGCCTCGTCTTGTTATATGTGTTTATATATATATATATATATATATGTATATATGTATGTATTCCTTCCCGCTTGGTGCAACTTCATCTTGTCAAGGTTTCTCTTTGTTGAGAGAGCAACTGGTAATTAACACAGCAGTGTGTTAGGGGGGAGGGCGAGAGATGGAACTTAATGATCATGGTTTCTTAGAGGAGCTATTAGCTCTAAGAAGAGAGAGTTGGGAGACCTTCCCTGCTGTAGGAGGAGGCATGAATGAGTTGTTCAGTAATGGGTGGAGTTTTGATTGTTTTGAAGACAACCCAGGTTTGGTTGTTGGGCCAAATTCATCGTTCGAAGGACTCGCGACCGCCATGTCTACCTCTACTGGTACTGGTTTCGATGGTTCCTTGAATGATGTTTATTGCCCATATGGAGATGGATTTTGGATACCTGAGATGGATGATTCGTCTTCGTACAAGAAGCAAAACGATACCCCATCGTTCCCGTCTCAAGAAGAGTACCCATCCTCGCTCATGGAGGATGATGAACCGGGTCTGCTCGGCGATGAGCTTCGCAATTTCGAGGAGAGGCCGACTACCTGCAAGGTTGAGCCCGTCCAAGCTCCCGAGCTTCCTGTTTTCAACATGGGCCTGTGTTTAGAGAGGAAGAACCGATCAAAGAAGGTGGAGGGTCAGCCATCCAAAAATCTAATGGCCGAGAGAAGGAGAAGGAAGCGTTTAAACGATCGTCTTTCGATGCTCCGGTCGGTGGTTCCTAAGATCAGCAAGGTTTGTTATCACCATTGAACTTCATTCCTTCATTCCTTGATTTCGGTTTTTTGGTTTTTTTTTTCTCTCCAGATTTTCTTTTGGGGGTTTCCATTTTTCTCCCATCTAGATTGATTGGACCATTGTTTCTTACCATCGATCTCCTGCTTAGTTTTTTTTTTTTTTTTTTTTCATGGGCAAACTTGTTGTGCCTCATGACATAGCACTGATGCATGGTTCTGATCGAAATGGGCATTTATGATTGCTAGATGGACAGAACGTCTATACTTGGAGACACCATAGACTACATGAAGGAGCTGCTAGAGAGAATCAAGAACTTGCAGGATGAGATCGAAGTGGGTTCCAATCAGTTGAACCTGATGAGCATTTTCAAGGAGCTAAAACCAAACGAAATCCTTGTAAGAAACACACCCAAGGTATGGTTTTCTGCGAATGAGATGAGATCCTCAGATGAAAAAACTCCTAATTAATCTGATTTTAAGCGAATTACCGAGTCAAAATTTTCTTTTGCAGTTTGATGTGGAAAGAAGGAACCTAGATACCCGGATCGAGATTTGCTGTGCCGGAAAACCGGGATTGCTGCTATCAACCGTAACCACACTGGAAGCACTAGGCCTTGAGATCCAACAGTGTGTTATAAGTTGCTTCAATGATTTTGCAATGCAAGCTTCTTGCTCGGAGGTACGATTCGATCAACACAGTTTCCTTCTTTTCTTCTTCTTTTTCGTTTTTTAGGCCTTGTAGTCCTGTCTTAGTCTTTAGTCCACTTAATGGAAGTTATATTATTCTTTTGCTCTTCTTTTTTTTTTTTTTTTTTTCTTTCATGGCTACCACCGATTAGAGTTACATGATCTCTTGGCATGGTTATAGGAAATGGAGCAGAGACCAGTAGTTAGTTCCGAAGACATAAAGCAAGCATTGTTCAGAAATGCAGGTTATGGAGGGCGGTGTCTGTAGAAATGAAGGAAACAAAACAAGGCAGAAAAGAAAATGGCTATTCCAAGAAGACTGAAGCCAGCCATAAGAGCTTGATGGATTGCTGAATCTCTCTGTATTTTTTTACCCTTTTTTTAAGTAAGAGATGGTGCTGTAATTTTTTGTCTTTCGAATAAGTGGTTGCTATTCATCGGGGACCATCTCATCACCCATTTTTATGTTTTTTGTGTTTCCTTCCATTGGGGATGTTTATTATGTAAGGGGTGCTTTTCCTCCACACACCCAAGAGACCCAACTAAAAAAAAAAAAAAAGTGTTTTTAGTTTAATTGCTTTGGTCGGAATGTTTTGGAATTCTGTGGGACACATACTTATGAACTGACAAATGTACCCTTCTAGAAGCCTAGCCTAAGGAAATAGTGCTTAAACCTATCCTCCTGCAACATCCACTCAAAGGCTTCAAACCTCTCTTCAGTAACCAACCAACTAAATTTGTTCTGACTTGCCTCTTGGTGGAAAAAAAACAGAAGGTTGACCCACGGTGATTTCATTCGGCTGATTGTCTGCTATAAAAAAAAAAAAAATGTTCATGGATGGATATGCAAGTATGTTGATGAACAGCATTTTATGATTTAGTTAGTACTTGGATTTTCGATTATTTTTCATTTAATATGGTTTCCAAACAAGCTCGTAGAGAAAATAAGATTTTTGTTTTCAGTAACGACATTGGTTTACTTATTTATTTATTTTGTGAATAATATATAACATTGAGGGTTGAGGCGGCTTTTAAGCTGAACATTTATCTCATTTATAATTTTTATTAACATTTTAATAGAAAGAAGTCCACAGTTAAAGATGCTAATCTCTTATTAATTTCGCCAGTGCAGAGCTTTTGTCTACAAGCCAGAAATAAAGAAGGGGGTTTCATATATAAAGGCTGTTGGCTGCCTCTAACACATACAAAAACATTGTTCCAAATTCAAGTAAATATGAATAGATAACATTGAATGGTTGGCTGGTTGCAATAATGCTCAGTTGAGTTTATTATGTAATTGTTTTCAGCCTTGTGACTAAGTGTAAGATGAACAGAGTTAAATTGGAAATTGAAAATCGATTTGAGCTTAAAAATACAGTTCAATAAGCAAGCTCAAAAAAAAGTTGACACACTTTATGATATAAAACAGGGTTGTCAACGCAAGATCCCTTCATAACTGGAAAGTGGTGGGAAACAAAGTTGTTGAAATAAAATGAAAAATAAAAGACATAGGCTCCATATGTTTCAATGTGTAATGTGTGAAAATTTTCCAAATTCAAATATTTGAGCTATATATTTACCCCTTCTTGCAATGAAAAACCTTGTTTTTTTTTTATAGCGTTTATATCGATCAAAATGAACTAAAGCTTCACCGTAGAAGGAACTATATAATATATAATAATAGTTAAAATGTTTCAAACTGACACATTTCAGAATGAAAACTTCTCATAAGCCTTCTACATTAATTCAAAGTTGAAACTTGAAACCGAGCAATAGGACAAAATTAATAAAATCGAAGTTATTCTCATCAATAGAGTTGGAATTGAACTTGGAACTATAGGCTGAAGCCTCATGGGATCTGCATTGAAAAAAGTTCCTTAGTTACTTGAATTTCATAGTACTTCAAAATCCGATCGAATTCCAGTAGAGTCTAATTAGTCGGTGCCACTGGTAGATGTACCAGGCAGTGGGAGGGGAAAGAGTTCACGAGCAGTAACTAGTAAGCACCTCTGAAAGCTTAGATGATATTCTTTTTTTTTTTTTTTTTTTTTATCAGGAAGATGGCAGATTTGGCCTTAAAAAGCTGATTCTGTCCCATACAAATCTTAGCTTGGAACTGTCAAAAAGATTGGCCCAGTTCTGGGTAGTCCGGCTCCACCTAATCTTGTTCAAAAGAGCAAACCTCATTCAATCTTTTTTCTTTGTCTCCCCCCCCCCCAATTAAACATGAGTGAGACAAATTAATGCAATGAAGGATTAACTAATTATCACCATTACCCATAGTATATATATCCAAATTTGCCATCGATAATTTCTTCTGTAAGGCTTTGTTGGTCGTGGGTAGTTGAACAAACAAGGTTCTCCAGCCTGTGACAAATGGAAGCTTCTCAAAAGCAAGCTTTTGTGTTTGCTTGCTCATTTGATGGAGTTACAATTGAAAGGGGACCAACAAGTAAACTTGTGACAAGGAGAGGTTGAAAGTTGAAAGTTGAAAGTGAATAAAATACAAAAGTTATTTTCCCCGGCGAATACGTTAGGGTTTTATCATGGGATTGCTCACACCACCGTTCCGTTGCAAACTCAGCGAGAAGTAGCTAGTGGAGTTTGGCTCCATCCTTTACATCGATGTGATGCATAAGTAGCTACTGTTCAACATGCGTACCAGAGTCTGGCCATTGAGTTGCGAGCCCTCTAATCATATCAGGTATAAAAAGAAAAACCAGTGTGCAATGAGTCGTCGGCCATGAAGTTGGAGCAAAATTTCATTTGTGGAATGTCGTGAGATGGGAAAAAAAGATTCTCAGAGAGAGAGAGCAGATCTATCAGTGAATGCTTGGCCTGACAAAGCAGGTCTTGATTAGTGAAGAGATGTCACTTTTAGATGGAACTACCAACTAGGTGAAATTTGTTGCCTCTCAGGAATGGTCCTGATAGAGGCTTTGATTCCTGAGGACAAGTCACTTTGAAAGGAACTTGTGAAGTGTCTAGTCTCTGAGGAAGCAAAGTCAACAGAAATTTAGCTTTGTGTTCCGTTTGGTTGATAGGGAAAATCATAGATTCTTGATTCTTCAACAAGGTGAATTGTTGGAGAGAGAAAATACAGCAAATCAATTTTTGAAAAATACTGTTTCTGACATTCTGGTCCCACGCCTACTTACTGTTCTACCATGCTTATTGCAGCAAGCTTTTCTTGTAATTAAAAGTAAATCATCATACAAGTTTTTGATCGGTCTTGAAAATCTTGCCATTTTCCTTTTTCATGCTAAGCAAACACACCTCATTTCAATTTCCTTCAAAAAACTTGCCAAATTTCCTACTAGTTTGTCACATTTTCTTTGGAACCAAATAGATCCAGGATAGAAACTGGGGTTCTTCCATTTTTGACAACTAGGAGTCTAGCTAGGACTGAAGGGGGAATTAATAATGTAACAACAATATTTGTGTATTTGTGCAGGTTTTTTTCTCTAGCTCTTCATACATTTTCAGCTCATCTAAATTCGAGGTAACTGCCAAATGTAATTGCCCTAACCACAATGGTTATAAAATAAGAAAAAACAAATTTTGTAATGCCTAGTTTCATTTTCATGGATAATGTGTTATTCATGAGTAAGGTGACTCTTCAATAATATTCAAGAACAAGCTAGCTTTTCATGACGTGGACCATAGAAATCTCCTACTTTCTGATCCTCTAGAGCTCACGGGTGACAACTGACGACGTAAACATTTTCTTCCGAACTCTTTTAAACCTCCATCGCCTCATTGTTTCAGATTCATACTTGATCAGTATTGAAACTGGAGATTACCACCACCATACTTGTTTGGGGGCAGTTTGACTCTCCACCTTACTCGTGTCTTCACTCTACAATGAGGCAAACAAAGTGGATGATATATATACTTGATCAGCAAAGTCTGTGCTTTTCACTGGGTTACTTATTTTCTTCCCTTTGTGGATTCTGGGTTGGTTTCCAACCAACTCAGTGTGCAGATACTGAAGGCCATATATATGCATCCGATCGAACCTGCATGTTAGCAATTGAACCTGTGTTCTTTGGCTTTGGCTCTGTAGCTCCACTGATACATCTGTCGTGATGTTGATGTCTTTTGGAATGGTATATATCTTCCTTCTTTTGATAAAAGACGAAGCTGAAAGAAAGACACCCATACAGAGGCGTCATTAGAATGTGCTTAAAAGACGAAAGTTTTTTATACTTGGGATATATATATTAAATTGGACGACTTTGACTATGTATTCCGCTTTTACGAAGAGAAACTAAAGCTAATTAATGGGGTTAAGGTTGATGACGATCGATGGACATTAAATAAAGACTTGAGACAAAACCTTTTCAGCAAGCTTAGGCCCTACCGCCCGATATTTTTGTGACTGGGGGAGGCCAGGGGGAGAGTTCACGTGTAGAAATTTGAAAGAAAGCAGCAGTTTAATAATTAAGGTATTGGAAGCAGATCTAGTTAGCCAAAATCATTGACGATGCCCGAAAGTTGAGACCAGCTCTTGCTGTTGTCCCATAAGGCGGTAGAGATGTTCCATTGTCGCCATGTAAATGTATGCAAGCTCTGAAAGGGAATAGGGATAAGCTACCCTTCCATGGTGATGGTTGTACGCGCGTATTCTCACCCGACAGAACTGCCATGTATATATATGGTTTCCCTTTCACAGCTTGAGACAAAAGGCCTCGGAAGATAAGCCGTCACTGTTTACTTTTTTAGTTGAGAAGGAAAGCACGACCAGTATCAACTAGTATGTAGTCCTTGCTCCATCTGTGTTCTTCTTTCTTGCATAGATCCGGTTTTGAGGCTATAAAGACAAATACATTATTCTGTGCAGTGTTAAAAACACTTTGTATATTCGATGGATCCGTATAATTACTTTTAATCTTATATGATTGTCTCAATCTCAAATCAATGTCCTCAACCCTCCCCTATTAGCTAGCTATCAAGAGCTAGCCTCATAACATTCTCAAATGCCAACAATCCTCATAACCCCTTCTCTTCAGGAAACAATATATGAAATTTGTTTTCTTCTGTTAGCAGTCAAGCTCCGCCGCTCTCATGGGCTCTTGTCATGGCCCGGGTGGGGTCTGGGTCTCCGATTCCGAGATTCTCCCTCCGGCCTGACATGTGACAACAAAGCTAGCTACATGCATGTGAATGTATCCCCTGTCCCTGGTTCAATGGAATATCATATACCGGCCTGTTCTGTATTCTACAACAATCCCCATGACGCCGTGACTGGTTCTAGATCTTGTCATCCACGGCATGCAGAAAGTTGAGCCTTAATTTCTCAATCTCAAGACTGTCCCACTTGACGTTGAAGATGATGTGCGTGGCTACTGGTTTTCATCAGTACCCGTGAGCAGAGCACACAAAGCCATTAATTGCTTAATTAAGCATTGCAAATGATTCAGAGAATCCCACTACGTGAAGACCATCCATTCTAAAACATGTAAAAAATAAGTGTACAACGAAGAGTAGTATTCAAATACCCAGAAGAAAGAAAAGAAAATCCCAAAAAGAGAAATATCCTAAAAAGAATAATCTGGAGGAATACTAGTAAAC